AAGCATTTTGCAGTTGTTAATGCGTGCTCAGCCAAGATCAGAGTAGAATCTAACTTCTCAAGGGTGAATCGCAAAGGTCCTGAGAGTGGCAGGTAAAGCATGTACTTGTAGCTGAAGCAGAGACGCCCGCCACGAAGAAGTGTTTTTGTGGTTCGTATCATTCATCTCTTAAAAATGTTTGTGCATTCATCTCTTATGTTTGTGTTTTGGCTGAACATATGCACTCCTTGTACGTGCGGCCCATTGATACCCTGCTATTTCTGCTCCCGTGCTTGTTTCGCACGGCCACAACCAGTGACAGCCTGCTTCCAATAGTGCCCAGCACGCAACAGCCGGCTGCCACGTGATCCTGACGTGTCTTTACATTACACCTTGGAGCAGAAAACAGTCTTGGCTGAAACGTGCGACCCAACAAAGACCCAAGGTCGAAGTCGCACGATGGCACAAGCGTTGTTTAGAAAGTTCGAAGGATTGAAGATTGCCAGATTCAAACTTTGAAGGCTTGAACACTTATAAGGCGGCGGACTGCGAATGTTTGGGTACATTGATATGCGCAAGTGAGCCAGATTCAGACTTCCACCATTTGAAACTCGAAGTTGTCCTTGCGTACGTCGAAGCTTCCGCCAAACTCAAGGCGCGACCGAGTTCGATCGGCGCTCCAAGCTTGAAAGGTTGGCGTTGGAAGGATTTTCGACGTCGAGAGCTCGAGAGTTTGAGAATATGCAAGTTCCATAAGTTCGGAGGATCGAAAGTTCGAAAGCTTAGAGTTTGAAAGGCTCGCCCCAAGTGCAGCATCCCGCTGCCAAGTTCGAGAGGTTGACGGTTGGAATGCTCGAAAGTTTGAGAGGTTGCGGGTTCTAACGATTGAAATCTTGAGAGTTTCAAAGTTTCAACGGCATGTAAGTTCGAAAGTTCGATTGTGTGGAAGTTTGAAATTTTGAAGTTTTCACATGCGCCGAGTTCGAAAGTTTGGCGGCCTGCCAAGTTTTGAAAGTCTGAGAGTTCGAGCGACTGCAAGTTTGAAGGTATGAAAGTTTGCAAATCTTGCAAATTGGAGAGGCCCGGCTAGAGGTGGGGTGCCATGTATGCATGTTACACACACACACACTCGCCTTGCAGTAGGCCTTTGCTCATAGGACAGTTCGCTGCTATTTAAAGATTCCGCCCCCTCACCACGAAAGCTAGCTCTGTGGAGCTTGAAAAAACCCTTCAGCACCTTTTGCAGAAGCGCAGCCGGCTGTTTCTGCTGCGGCTCATAAAAATCGGAGAATTCAAGGCGAAGCGGAGCGAACTCAGAGTTCGAATGCCAGCCCCCTCCTCCCTCCACCTCCCAGCCTTGCCGCCGTAGCCTGTCGCTTACCTATCACTTAGGTGATAGAGATCTAGGTCAAAAAAAGCACGCAGGATTATCTGGTCCGTTTTTCAATAGTTAAAGGGGGGGAGGGCCCCCCCTTCGTGCCACCACAGAAATGATTGCTGTAGAGCAATTAAGGCGGGGGCCCCCCCTACCACAACAACCGAGTCTACATGGCCGAGTCTGCCGACGTCACGTCTGACCCTGAAGCAAATTAGCTAAGTTGCCATCAGGACAGATTACATTCGCATGTGGTCAGGGCCAAAGCCGCAGCCGACAAGCGCGTGGAAGCATTGAAGCCTGCGCCATCAGGAAAGCTTCAAAAATTATCTGCAACATTGGAAGCAAACCTGCATGGATTGCATGAGTTCCTGTGCCGCGCCGTCCAGCTTCGCTCGGGCTGCGCGGCCTCAGTGAAAAAACTGGGGTCAGCTGCGTTGCAGTCCTGTGCTCTAGCTTTCGTAGCCCGCTTCTCATTTTGAGCGATTGCGGTTGATCACATGTCGCGAAAGCTGGCTCTTTGGGAGCTGGCGGGAGTTCAGGACGAAAGAGAGGGCCAACTAGGGCCTTTTGGTTTCAAAATCATGGTTTCACGGCATGGGGGGGGGGGCTGTCCGCCCAAGCCGCTTTGCGGTCTGCTCTTTCAAGCAGCGGACTACTAGGAATACGTTTGCAGAGAGCCTCCGCATGCGAGCACTGCTCCTAGTTGCAGGGGTGTGCACCGAAAAGCAAGCGACGCAAGCACCGTAGCAGCTTTCGTGGCGCCTCCGCCCTCTCATAAAGCGATGACGGCTGATCACGTTCCATGAACCGGGGTCATTAGACGATCACAGCAGGTCGCATTTCTTAACCCCTGCCCCTCGTTCGATCACATCGCTTAGACCCGACCCCTCACTTAGCCGTCTCCCATGGTACTTCCCGAATGTAGATACATCCTGTTGCTGGAGAAATGAGAATTCCCGATCAGGACGAATGGAAGAACGACGGCAAAGATGACTGGTCCAAAAAGGAGGACTGGAAGAACAACGAGGCCCGAGTTCTGTTTCCTGATCTGCGGGGTGTTTGAGGTGTCGGAGTGGCAAGAGGCCCTGCACACTTCAGTCGACCGAGCAACAACACTAGTAACTAGTAAGCCAACCCCGTTCATGATGAGTGTTCCAATTGTTTTCAGAGTGTCAGGATCCTAGAAGGTTTAAGACAGGTGCTCGTTCAGCAATGAATCCTTTCCTGCCGTGGTCATGGCGCGCTGCGACCAGGGTGGCTGGAAGCGATCAGCATGGAGCCATGAGGACGAGCCCTCTGCTAAGGATCGGGACCTGTGCTGAGCTGGGGCATCCGAGAGGGAGGAAGCTTGCACGGGGTGTGGGAGTGGATTGGAAACTGCTCAATCTTCGAAGGTAGAGAGGTAACGTTTGGAAACAATGCTAACTGCAAGGGTTTGCAGAGTTGCAACTTGACTGTACAAGTCTTGCAACAGTGAGCCAGAACCCGGCCGGCACAATTGTCACAGTTGCCCTTATGTCACTTCTTGTGATGAGGCATGTCGAAACATCGTTGAACGAGCTGGCCCTCGGGTCTGTTAAAATCTTTCGTAGCACCTGCGACTCACGAACGGCAAGCCTCAACATCCACCATTGCAGGCCGCCTATTCTGGACGATCCACAGCAGAGGCTTGTTGCGAGATGTTGCGAGCATGTTGGAACCATGTGCAGCTTCACGGTGCCCTGCATGTGCTCGGCTGTGCATTCTCGAGTTCTTGCGCAGTGCATTGCCTTGAACGTTTAGGGAAGGGTCGAGGATTGTGTGGATGGTGCAAGACCGCAGGGCTTGCAGAGCATTTGAAACATGCTCTTGATGCGAGCACGCGGGAAAGACATGGACAAGTCTAGCGAGTCTAGCGGTCGAAATGGTCGGACCGCTGTGGAATTATGTGGGAAAACAGGCAGCAGATGCCCTCGTATGCCCTCTGAGGGGATCTGTGTGCCGGACTTCAGCCACGGCAGACGTACGTGTATCGCCGGCTCTGCTTGGCCGCTCCCCCACCCCAAACGGCAGGTTCGGGAGCTCTTGAACGCAGGCAAGGGCCAAAGCTTGAAGGCCAGGACGCTGGAATGGGTAACGTCACACGCAGCACGTGCTCCTCGAGGTGACCGAGCTTAAAGCCTTCCTAGACGAGCAAGGCATCGACAGTGCGTGGAGCCTGGAGTTGGAGTGGAGTCTCAGATCCCGGCATGGGCACCAGGGGGTGCATGCGGTGGCTCGGTGCGAGGTTGGCATGAAGAACGACCTTATCCAGCGTGCGCTGGAGGTGGGAGACGCGAAACCTCGTCGCTGCCGCATGCTGCCGCTCATGCTCAACGACAACGGCCAGATGCTATGTTCCCTTTGTCACCCGAGCGTGTTGGGGGTCGTGCTTTTCCGGTATTTTTCCGAATTTGTCGGTATTTGCGAGCGACGTTCTGCGAGTTGCGCACGCGTTTCAGCACACTCGTGCTAGACATTGGCCCACTGGCCATTTGGAATTAAACCGCACACGGCGCAGAGCAATGAGGGCAGCAACGCCTTCGTTTCCAGCTCTGCCCATGTTTGCGGGAACGGCCGAAAGTAAGGAGGAAGTGGTGATTGTGATTGAGGTTATTACAAGGTTAACGGCGTTCACGAGTTGGGTGGTATAGTGCATCATGGACGCCCAAGGCCTCAGCTAGAAAAATCGGAACGCCTTGCGGTTTTCTTGGCACTTGAATCCGCCGAATCCTTGAAACCCTCGCTTTGCCTACTCGTAGCTTTCTTTGGTTCAGCTCTGCATCGTGGGCAGGCATCCTGGTAACTGAGCTCGCAGCGTCCAGAGATGCTGTTTGCCGGCAGTCAAGTTGCTGTGAGCGAACAGTACTGCCGAATCGGAGACGTACTCCCGGGATGTGTGCAGCCTCTTGTGCCTAATTGTATTTATTGGGTAGCCATCTGATGGGGCCCCGCCAAAAACGCCAGTGGATTTTGGTGCTATCCGCGCTCGACACAAAAAGCTTAAGTGCTTCAATCAGACACTTCAGAATGCTCTGTGGACAGTGAGGTGTCGCCAGTAAAGTGTTGCAGGACTTCCTCTGCACCACAGCATGTTTCTACAGCGGCTCCATTAGCCTGATCTATTACGCAATGTCTCGGTGCAAGCTGCCATGCGCAGCTCGAAGGCCCATCAGTGCAGCTGCAGGCCACCTGGACGACCCCGTAGCCATCGAGAATCACCGAGATCCATCTCAGGCTCTCGCTCCCCTACCTCCCCTCACTGCTTGTCAGGCGCTTCAAGCGCGAGTGATGAGCCATGTAATGGCAAGAAGCGTGTTCTTTGTATCCGCAAGAGTGCAAGATCAGCCCAGCAAGAAGACCCCTCGGTCAGGGTCAAAAAGGCCATGCCGCCATGTCGGGGCCTCCGTCCGAGGACGGCCAGGCCCTCGCGGCCGTCGCGGCCGTCGCGGACGGGCCTTTGCCGGATGGAGACGGAGGAGACGGCACGGGCACTGCACGGGCACTGCACGGGCACTTGCAATGTACGCAGAATCGCAGGCCCTAGGGCCCTACCTGTAGCCGCTTCCAACTTCGGCTTCCAGGACAGGCGGGAGACTCGCCAAATGCATGGGCTCAGCAGACCATGGGGCGAATGGCACCACTACCGCAGGATGAGGCCGGTAGTTTGCAAAGTTTCCTGCCACGATGCCAATCACAGACTTCTTCTCTGTCAGTGCAGACAGCATAGCCGCGAAAGCTGATCGGTCATGTAACAGGGTGCATGCAGCATGACTTGCAGGAGGGTTCTCCGACCAGCACGGCGCATTTTCCATTTGGCCTGTCACACGATCCTTACGACACCTTCGTCAAACAGCAGCTCATGCTTCTGGAGGACGAGCCGCTGAGCGGGCAATCCTGAGGTCAAGGCCGTGAGAAGCAGGGACAGTAGATCCAAGGGCTACAACGTGCCTTGTGATGCTTGCAGTGCAACTGGGAAGCCAAAATAAGGAGTAAGATGTTTGGTAGCTCTAGGCTCTTTAGTAGTGCATTTGGCAGAATCAGCAAGCTTGGAACGTGAAGTCACTATGCAGCAAGGCTTATTGTTCTGACTTACGACGATGCATTTCGCGCAGTATGATCCCATGATAGGATGTGTGCAATCCTTGTTTCAGTTTGCACTTGCAGGTGGGGATGCGGGGTCCGGAAAACTGCTCTTCTAACTAAACATGCATCTATATACGTGGGTGGGACACCATGGGACGCCTCAGAAGTGTGATGACACTAAGGCTGGTTGTATCATCACATATCCGCAATTCGCACATCTCCCAATTCCCATGCTGAGACTTCACTCTTCACGCCCCTTCTCAAGCCAAGGCTGCGGTCCCTGGAGGTGGAGGACACCTTGGTGCAGGAGCTATCTGAGCCGCATTGTATAAATTCGCCATCAGGGTGCCATGCTGGGCAATTCGATTTGCTTTTGGCATTTCGAGGAGCAGCTTCGAGCTTTGGAGGCTGGGCAGTGCAGAAAGGACATGACCCTCGGAAGTTGCACATGCTTGCAACCCTCCCTGAATAAGCATACAGGATGGTGAGGATGTGTGAGTTATCATCCAGAATCAATACCAATGCATGCTTAAGTAACGTACTTCAGAACTAGTCCAGCCTGACTGCCCGAACTTCACAACGCTCCCTGCGAGTATTTCCGGGACATGGAGTGTCAGTGAAGACATCGATCCACAGTCCAAGTTTTGCTTTTCGAATGCTTGCACGGCGCTCTCCTTGAATTGATTCAATCTGAACCCGACATTCTTGCATGATGTGCCTTGGTTCGATTCAGCAGAACACATCCTAGACAGTCCGTAGGCTCCAAAACCGTGAAGCCCCCCAACCTGGAACGGAGTTGCGCATGGCGAGGCTCAGCTTCGAACACGCAAGCCCCCGACACTCGCGGGCCCGCAGGACGGAGTTGCTAGGTCTGTTAGGTATCGTAGAAGTCGTAGAAGTCAAAGTCGTTCACATAGTCATCATCGCAATCGTCTGCTCAGGTCATCACCATCGTCATTATCTTTTTTATCTCAAATCATCACCGTCATCATCGTCGTCGTCATCTTCACCAGCATCAGCATCACCATCGCGACTGCCATTCTCAACAAGTCATCACCATCCACCGCAAGCACAGAAACAATCAGTGTGACCATGATCAACATCATCACCAGCACCCATGCTTTCTTGCGGCGTTTTTTTCTTCTTTCCAGTGACTTCTTTGAGCATGCTTTCTTTCTGCATATTCGGGAAATTCTTCGTGACTTCTGTTGCCATCGTTCTCAAGAGGCATGCCTCCACAACGAACTCCGGTTTGAGGATCAGGGCTTCGGGCTTAGGCTTCAATATTCAAGTGTTTTGGGCTCTAGGGCTAGTGGATGCTGGTGGTGCAAGGTTTTGGGATGGCGTAATGTGGAAAGTGTTGATAGGTTACTGGCTTTCTGCGCTTGCAGTGTGGGCTTTCTGGCTTGAGTTTCAAGAATAGGGGTGCCTCTGGGCGTCGAATGCGTGCCGGGCTTAGTTTAGACTTCGAGGTTAGGCTGAGGTGGTTTAGGGTTTAAGGCTTTGCGGTTTATAAAAGTTGGCCCAAGCCGCTTCAGGCTTTTCAGGTTCAGGCTTGAGGGATTTGCGTCCCGGGCTCTGGGTTAAGGGTTTAATTAGGGATAAGGGTTTACATGGTTTACCGCAGGGTTTAGGGTGGGGTTGTGGCTGGGGTTGGGTCTTGGGTTTGGGGTGTTTATGAGTTTGGGGTTCGAGCAGGCCTTGGTATTTTGGGATTGAGGGCATGGACAGGCCGTAGGCCGTGGTTGGAGGGTTTCTACTAGAGTTGCTCGTGTCCGGTGTCGCAAAAGTTTCGCGTATGGGGTTACGCTGGTTTAGCGCAGTTTCGGGTTTAGGATGTAGGATGCGGGAGAGGGTTTACGTTTGAAGGGTGCAGTATTCAGGTTAGGGTCGGTGGGTTCAGGCCGTGCGGTTTCGGGTTTAGGGTTTACAGGGTCCTACGGGGTTGACGGGTTAGCACCAGGACTTAGGCGTGGTCGTGGGCTTGCACGGTTCAGGCGTGGGGCATCTGGGCCCTCTCTAGGCATTGCAGTTTAAAGCCTAGGCCTAGAGTCTAGCTAGCACTTGCGGTTGGTTGGTTCAGGCCGGACGGTTTAGGGTTTACGGTTTAGGTTTCGCTGAGGGCTTAAGGTTGGTACAGCTGGGTAAGGCAGTTGGTTTTACGCTCGGTACCGTATGAACAGAACTCGCAAATAAGACACAGCTACAGTGGAAAGCATTTCTTCTTCTTCTTCGTCATCGTCGTCATCATCGTCATCGTCATCGACATCATCATCATCATCATCGTCACCGCCACCACCACCATCATCACCGCCACCACCACCACCACCACCACCACCACCACCACCACCACCACCACCACCATCGTCACCATCGTCACCATCGTCATTACCATCATCGTCACCTCCATCACCATCGTCATCATCATCATCATCATCAGCAGCATCATCAGCATCTTCTTCTTCACCATGAACCATCACTCATCATCGCTTCTTCACCATCCGTCATCATCACGCATTGTCTCGCCATCCCATCGTCATGTGTCATAGTTCGTCGTGCATCATCATGATCATCATCATCATCGGCGTCGTCATCATCATCATCATCATCACCATCATCATGATCATTTTAGTCTTATCCTAAGGGCCATTATATCCTTCATCCATCTTTCCATCATCCATTATCCACAACCCTCAACAATCATCCAGCTCTAGTTGTCGCTGTCACATGTGTTGTAATCGTCGTGCAAATTGTGCCGGACGTGGGGGGGATCAGTGCTACAACGACGTGTGGCAACACCAGCCATCCCTTCAATCACAGCAGGGACCCGATCGAGGCAGGCCATTTTTCGTCTTCACTCCGAAGCTGTCCCGCATTACTGAGATGGTGCCGGCAACATGCGCTGTCCTTGCACTTCTGCATCGGCGACAGCCCGGCCAAAGTCAAGCATGGCACAGCTGTGCCTTCTGGGACCCTTGGCCCCCTCATACCAAATCTTGCGAACAGGTGTTGCGACACCCCAGCAGGGCGTCTGGCAGAGAGGATGCTGTTTTTTGTTGCTACATTGGGGCTTGGGGCCCACTGCCTCTGCATTCCATCGCTCACCTCTGATCTTCTCTGCTGTGATTTCGGGTGCGACTCCTTACTGGTTGTCTCCTGCATCTATGACCGCGGAGCCCTTGTGGCTCTTGAAACTTGCGTCCCGAGGTCTTACTTGTAGGTGCTGTGGGGTGTGTATTATATCCCTCCGCTGCGCTGGGCTTTGTGCTTGGCGGGCTCACTGCAGGCGTCATGCTCCCTTACATCTGTCTTGCCTTTCCTTGGGCCCACGCTGTGAACCTAAGTCCCTGCTGCAGGAGACGCTGGTTTCTTCCGGCGCGCCGCCTCGCGGCCGCTCTGCCAGGCGAGCCAGCAGTCGCAACAAGACGACCTACAATCCCAACAACAGCTTCGGACAGCAACAAGTAATTAACAAAGACCACAAGCGCCACGAAGCCATCGGCCCCTCCAACAAAACAACCACCAACCGCGACGACCACCAGGACGAGCAGGAAGGGCTTCCACTTCGGAAGTGTCTCGCACAGCCTCAAGAGGTGCGACCCACCGTAAGCACCGGGGGCAGCAGCAGCAGCAGCAGCAGCAGCAGCAGCAGCAGCAGCAGCAGCAGCAGCAGCAGCAGCGGAAAAAACAACGCACTTCTATCAAAGCATTCTGATTGAATACCCGAAGTGATCGAAGAGGTTGGCACACCAACTAGACTCGAAACCACAGCAGCCAGGCAGTGACAACGCATACGATAATCGAACCACCGTAAATGCTTGCCGTTATGATGATGACGACGGTGATTGTGGTGATGATGGTGAAGAATGAAGAAGAATATGATGATAATGATAATGAAGAGTAGTGCAGTGGTGGTAGTAGTAACATTATCATCATCATTCATTATCACCATCATTATCTGATTTTCCTTCATTGCCCTCCTCTGCTCTTCATCATCAACTCAGTTCACCAACATTCATGACCTTCTTCACCATCATCCTCATCCTCAATATAGTCCTTCTCCTCCTCCTCCTCCTCCTTTTCCTCCTCCTCCTCCTCCAACCAACTCCTCCGCATCAACATCATCACCGCCATCAGCATCATCATCATCGCCGCTATTGCAGAGAATCTTCTTCGTCTTATTCCGACCAGCCACAACCACTTCAGCAACAGTGCAGGGATTTTGCTCAGGTGGGCGGATGAGGCGAACGGCAGCAAGCACACTGGAACTTACGGTGACGTGCTGCAGAGCCAGGCAGGCGCAATGCAGATGCACGAGCGGCAGGCGGGGTTCCCGGGCTTCCTCTGGTCACGAGTGTTGCTCACCACTGCTAGCCACCACCCCCACCGCCGCTGCCGCCCGCCACCACCCGCGCCACCATTTCTCACCGCCACTTTCGACCCCGCCAAGCACTGAGCCAAAACTCGTGTTTCCGCCCCTTGGCAGGTGGCACGCCAAAGACAGCAACTGGAATACAGTTTCGCGGAGTTATCCCGCAACCCACATGGCATGAGCGAAGGCCATGCTGCAGCATGTGGTGCTCAGAAGTCCAGAAAACTGCCAGTGCCCTTGGACTCCCTCAGCTGCAGCCCTCCAGCAGGCGAGATGCTTCGGAGCAAAGCCTTGGAGCAGCGTGTGCAGCAACTGATCGATCCTTGGCTCCAGGTTCCTCTCTTTAAAGGTTTTTGAACTGGTTATGTTCATCCACAGGATGCAAGGATTCGGACAGGAGGTGGACTGTGTAGGGTTTCCGAGAGAGAGAAACGTGTGACAGAATCATGTCACAGAAGTCAACTTTCAAGCGGCCCGTCCCGGAGGAAAGCGACCAGTTTCCATGACTGTTTGGGCCAGGAGCGTCGCGAGCAGCGCGAGCGGATTCGCAGTGGGACCCCACCCCGCACGGCTGCACCTCAGGTTCGGGTTCGGGCTGTCGGGACTTTCGAGGGCAGGATTGTATGATGTCATGATTTGAGAAAACTGTTATCTCTACGGTCAACCAGAAAGGGCCCGAACTTTGCCGCACTACCGTGCTTCATTAGGTCATCCCATGTGAATCCCGCAGTTTCGATATTATGGGCCTCTTACGGAGAGCGCAGGGAGCTGCTTGAGGTGAATCCAGCCATGGAGTTTCGATCTGGGCATTGCCAGATGGACAGTGTGTCCGCAAATCTTGGCAATAAACTTGTGGGAAGGGCAGGCTAAGCGTCTAAGCTTGAAGTCCAGCCCAAGCTGACGCAGTGTTGCTTTTTGCCGTATCGGGAAATCTTGGGGATTACACGGATTACACTGGGGACGCGCCAGACGAACCTCAGCTGCGCGAGCAGCGTGATTGTAGCCGTGCGCAGCGACGTGAAATCGTAGAACACCGGGCTTGACAACGCCAGCAACTGCCATATGCGCACGTTGAGAAGAGGTTGGACATGGAAACGGACTGTGTTGGTCCTACGACCGGTAGACCTTGAACATAGCGTCATTTCACCACCGGAATCAGAAGAACACGCAGCTTTGCATCTTCAAGCGGCAGCACCCTCACAAGTGTGAACAGACAAATCTCAGTAGAGTCCACTCCGAAAGAGTGCGTGAAAAGAATTTGGAATCGCAGGCTCCAATGGTGCCCGGCCCGGGCAGCGGCGCCACCGTGCCTCCAGGGCCGACGGCACCGCGGCGAATTGTGAGGGCCATGCAGCCTAAACGGGCCTAAACTGCCTAAGCGGTATATACCTGGTAGGGTGAGGATGACGGTGAGGCGGAGGTCGATCAAGCGGCGGCCTCGCATGGCTCGCATGGCTCGCGCCAAGCAAGTGAGGCGAGCTTCGTCCCGTTCGGCGACCGTGGTCTTCTCCCGGAACCAGGTGCTCGCCTTGGAACGAACTCAGATTCCCAACCGCGGTGCAAGCGCTTTGCTTGATTTCAGACTGGAGCCAGGAGATGATGCTTTTGCTTCCCCAGAAGCAAGCCGCTTCCATTTGGACCCGTCTGCCGTCATGAGCCTCACCTCCAATGGCAGCTTCCTGCATGCCGCAGACGGATGCGAGCTCGCAGTTTGTCTCCCGAGGACAGCTAGAAATTGGAGCCCTGGGCACTCGCGGCCTGACGTGGCGCGGTTCGATCTGGACTGTCAGCTCTCTGCGAGTCATCTAGAATAGTGTGCACTCTAAGATTGCAAACCTGCCGCACAAGGAGGTCTTGCTAGCCCGTACCAAATCGCTGTAGCTGCTATTCCCTGACATGCAGGCCCCAACCCACACTTGCGTTGCAGGCCTTGTAAGAGACAGTGTAGGACTGGCAGGCAGGCGATCGGTTGGGACTGTACCCACCCGTGCCTGCATGCGAAGCATGGCGCTATCTCCCAGTGCGTGGTGCTCCAAACATGACATTGCTGATGACCCTGCGGTGTTCAGCTGATGCAAGTATTTGCGATAATGCCTTGAGCTGCACTGTGAAGGCCTGAAGGTGCGGTGGATTTGCAGATTACGAGGGAGGCTCTAACTCCTAGTGCTCTCAGTAAAGCGTCGATCGGTGTTCACCCGTGGTCTATAATTTCGAAACCGAGCTTGCGTGGCTTACCGGGAAGAGACCTGTGGGTAAGTGGATTGCAGGATCCCGTGACGCAGCGAGATTGGGCTAGACCAGGCCAGGCAAATTGGCACAGCAGATTGCACGTTACAGCTTCCGTGACATGTAGGACAGTTTGCCAGTGCAGAGGGATATTGGATTTGCAGGAGTGACAGATATCTCGTCTGATGCCCTTGTATCCGCGTCTATTTGAGGTACAGTGGTGCCCGACCGGAACTACACTCCCAGCTACATGCGGCCCGAACTTTTTTCAGGCGCGCCGAAGGATTGTGATTGCTACGTAGCCGCTTGTCGCAGAGTTTTTTCTGACCCCTGCAGGCCCCGTGCAGCCAGGCCTCAGGAGCCAGGCCGCGGCTTTGAGGGCTGGGAGTGGGGTGAGTGGGCAATGGTGGGCAATGTTAGTATCTCGCAGGACTCTAGCCCAGCTCATGGTACTGCACCAACGCTGTTCGATCCGACCAGCTGCGGACTTATGCTCAGACGATCATCCGCATGGTCTCCCTACTCTTTTACTCTTCCAGGTCCGCATGCAGCCAGTTCTGGGCAGCACTCGCAGCCCTCTTGGTGCCTGGCTTGCACACAAAGAGCCGAGCTTGCAGCGTGAGCGTAAGCCATGTAAGCCGTTCGAAGGCGCAGTCGCTCTGCCAGCCCGGGACCGGCCAGGGTCGACGCCGTAGGGGTCCCCAGGAATCCCAGGATTCTGCGCCTTGGCTTGCGCTCGCCGCCCCGAGGGCGACCGCACAGAGAATGAGGAGCTGGTTCTGCAACAAGATTTGCCTGGCACATTCTACTGATTCTGTTTGCTGTGGGTTCAGTGGCAACAAGTGGGGGATTTTGCCGTTGTCCTGCTCTTGAGAGGATCCGATGTCTGTCATGGAGCAAAGCCGCAAAGTTGCAGAGGATGCATTGTACCAGAATGAAGCAGGCTCGCACTTCGCACGCTGAAGAAGCTGCCATGGTGTGTGCATGCAATTTGAAGGTCGTAAGAAAGCGGAACGTGAACGCCAGAAGGCCGCCGAGGAGCAAGCTGGAGCTTGGGACGGCGGTGGTCGCCATGCGCGAATACCCAAGCGTGTCGTGCCATTGGAGTATCAAGCTGGCCAAGGTTCTGCGCACCCACATCCTCGGTTCGGGACATGAAAATTGGGTGGAGGTCCACAGAGTCTTCCGCTGGCTAAGAGGTTGTTTCGGCATGGCCTGGTCGGTGCGGAGGGGCATGCCCGGAAGTGAGGTGCGACAACGGGGATATGGCAGCACACTGTCCAGTGTCCCGTTTCTACTGCCTGACAGCGCATGACAAGCCTCCTCCCGGCACAGCAAGAGTTTGTGGTTTTCTCGGTCGGAGTGTTGTCGCATCCGTGATGTGTCGCAGAGGAGCGGAGGAAGGCGGAGCTGGCAATGCAGCAGGCGGCACCACGGCTGAAAGGGGCCGACCATGATTCGCAGGGACCCCCCTCACCAGCCATGGCCCACAGGCCCACGATTAGGTATGCATGTCGTGTATGTATGCATAAAATGCGTGATGCACGTATTTATTATATATATATACAATATACACACACACATATGTGTGTGTGTGTACTTGTATAAGCGGACATTTGCTACTTGTACGAGCCTATGTCTGGAGACGTCTGCCAAAAATGGCTCTGCCATTTCGGCTCTAGTGCCGGGACCTCAGGCCTTTCAGGATTTTAACCAGCTTTCGCCCTTTTCTCTCTTTGCGACCGTTGATCATGACCCGTTGCCAAGGAGTCCGAGATGCAGTCCATCGTCTACCCCCCCACAGGTGACTTTGTGCCTGAGGGGTGCGGCCCACTGCCCACTGACCCCCTTGGATGTCAGTATGACCCTGGAGGAACAGCCTGCGGTGGTCTCCTCCTCGTCGAAGTTGGTCCCTGGTGTTGTCTGTTGTTTTGGAAGAGAAGCTCTGCTTCCTGGAGCGCTCCCCCGCAAACTTCCCAGGTATCGGCAAGCGTGCTGCAGACCAAGCAAAACAGCTCACCCAGGCGGAGCTGGCCGAGAATTTTCTCCAGCCTAAAAACAAAGATGTGGACCCGGAGCTGTGGAAGGAGGTCTACCAGATCTACAACAAGCAGTTGCAGCAGGACAGCCTCCTCTCGGTGGAGTATAGCTATAAGCACAAGGGCATCGGGCACAGCAGCCACCGCCTGGGCCGGGGCAGGAGCGAGGCAAAACTCATGTGCCCAATGTGTTTTGCAGACTGGGCTCGCTCAGATGGCAAAGCGGAGGGGAACTGCCAGTTCTGTCAATGACAGGTTATCGCCGCGGACAAAAGCCTCTCCTCGGCTGAGATCAAGCTGGGTGAGGTGAAGTGGAGAATGTTCGGTGGCCCTTCGCACCCAGCCAGCCCTTCGATGAGGTGACGTTTTGCGGAAAAGCCGGAGGAGGAGCCCCCCCCGATGGAACAGGACTGGCAGCCGTCGCAATAGACGCAGCCTCACTTGGCCGCGGCCCTTGAGCGGCAAGTACATGGAGAAGGACCACAACGCCAAGCTGGTGCCCCAGCTGGATGTCTTCACGCAGATCCAGGCAGGCGCCCTGGAAGTGGACGACACCACCGGGAAGCTGAGAGGCCTGCTAAGCGGAACTACTGAGACCAAGAAGGCTACCTGGAAACCAAGTTGACCTTCCCAGGCTTGCTGCCGTGAGCCGGAGAGGCAGTGGCTTGCAACGAAACAGGTCACGAGCTGTGGATTCGGCTGACCTGGCATTCTTTCCGGGTGTTCATGCCGGACTGCGCTTTCCAAACCCAAGTTCCCCGAGACAGCACGGCGGACGTGTGCACGAGGGAGAAGAGGAACGTCGTGTGTGCCATCTGGGACCAGGTGACTTCGTCCCTGAGCTAGCACAAGGGAAGCAAGAGCCGACGTCAATCAGGGGGATTGGGAACCCATCCCCCCTCTTCGACAGTCCCTCTTCCAGTTGGGAAGTCACCCTCATTCCTGCAGATGAGGTACGGTTCCCCCCCTCCCTCGTGGCGCTCTTCCCTTCAGAGCCGGGGCCAGCAGCGCGAAGTCCACCTCCTTGACCACGAACTCCGTGCCGTGGGCTGTGGCTGGAAACCATCTATGGACAAGGTCGAAGCCCTGAATGCCATCGACACGCACACACACACACATCACTTACATGTGCATGTATGAATATATCTATATACATAACATGTATGTATAAGTGTGTGCATGTGGGTATGCACATATGTACGTATGTATGGATAGATGGATGCATGCATGGATGCAAGCTTTGTGGTCAGGCAGAATACGTGCTACTGCGTACTACTACTACTACTACTACTACTACTCCTACTACTACTACTACTACTACTCCTCCTACTACTACTACTACTACTTCATACTACTTCATACTACTTCTACGTACTAGTATACGTACTACTTCGTACTACGTATTCCACTGGCGATAGCACAAACACTGGCACTACCACTTGTTGCGGCACCATAACTGAGGCCGAGGGAGTCATCCCACGTCTTAAACTCGGCCCTCATTAGGCGGTGGCGATTGATCTCATATCTCATTAGCCGATGGCGGTTGATCCCATATCTGACAGCATCAGGCGACGGGCGATCGATCCCACATCTTGGACTCAACCCGTCATTAGGCGATAGGGGGATCCCCCATGCTAGCTTCAAGCCGACCCCTCATCAGGCGATGGCAGTAGATCTTTTGCTTGACCCCCAACAACCCTTCTAGCCAGTACAGCCCACGTGCACCTTGGGTCCTTGCCCAAAGGATTTGAGTTTGATCCGATCCGATCATGGAATGTGAGGAACGGGAGAGAATGCATTTGTGTGCTGAGTTTCGGTCAGCCGAGGAGGAGGAGCGCCTGCGTGCGGAGCGAGAGTTCGCGGAGGCCTTGTCAGATCCGTGGTAGCAAAGAATCACTCGGAGATACTTCTGAGGATGAACTCACAGCCGCTGTAGCGTAGATGCTCCCGATTGATGCAAACCGCCGTTTGCATGAATTTGTTTTGCAATCGCGACTGCGTCAGAATTTGCGGTCTTGTTCGTCTCTCATACGGGCTCTTCGGAAGTCAGTGTTGTCTTGACTGAGTTCGGCTACACTGCTGCACTTGATCATATGGCGATGCAGGCAGAGCAGACCCGGCGCGAGGAGGCGAAGCAGCGGCAACGTGACAAGCGTGGGGCGGCGATGGCCCCAGGGCATCCTGGGCAAGCAGCCCTGCAGTAGCCCGTGGGATTAAGCCGTGCCAGCACCACCTGAATGAGACAACCAGGCCATGCGCAAGCAGCAGGATTCTGAGAAGAAACGAAGGGACGAAGAGGCTCGCTGCATGTTGGCCACCTTGCCTTGCCTGCCGGCCGGCAGGCCTGGTGCTCGCTTGCAGGAGGAGATGCGCAGGATGCAAGAGGAGATGGATGCGCAAGCGCGCGAGGAGAGAGAGGCGGCAGAAAGGCACGCCGAACCCATGCGAAGCCCATTCTGGTGTTCGCAATTCCAGCAAGCTCGGTTCATGCTTCAGCAGGGAGCGGACAGAAAGAGAGCGGGCCATGGCGGAAGAAGCCGAGCGTCTCATGCGCCTCTCCTTGAATGTAAGGCACAGATAGGCAGACAGGCCTCTTGAGAATCTCTCGAGTCTTGGCAGCTCAGAGTCCAGGAAGGGCAAAATGGATCCAAAGCTGAATCCACGACGCTTCTTCGCCAACAATGCGAAGCTCGACGGAAAAGCCCGCAGCTTGGCAGAATCCCCGCCTTCCTTTTCTTTTGGCCGCACAGTACGGCCCTTCCGGCTTCAAGCTGCCTGCTACTGGGTAAGAGGCAAGGAAGAAGTGGAGAAGTGCCGGGAGTTGATGCAAAAGCTGATGGCAACGGAGGCGGCCCGCTTCCTCCAGGCCCGCGAACAGCTGCCCAGTATGTTTGATTGTGGCCGCGTTTGCGATCTCTGATGCCACGTTGCTGACAGCAGCAGTTAGCAGCTTACTGGGAATTGACACTGTGCAGAGGCTGTTTGGAGGGGCCGCGGTCCCCGCAAAGTGCTGAGAGCGCTGAAAAACATTGAGCCTGTGGCCCAGACAGACAGATGAATTCCTTGAGGCTTCCCTTGAAACCCAAACGAAGGCGCGCCAAGTTCGATGCCACCAAGCGGCGCCTGGCTGAGGCCGCGGAAAAAATCGCAAGGACTGGCCGAAAGGCTTAATGGCTTGTTGGGGCTGGGAAGTGGGATCTTCGTAACAGGTTGATGCATGAAAGTTGAAGGCTGAGAAACGACTTGATGGCATCGAACAGGAACAAGGAGCGAGAGCGGCTTGCAGCGCGGCTGAAGGAAATCTCCGCCACAGATCCTTGGATGCGCTACCACCGCGGTATGCCAGTCGCTTTATGTTGTGTATCAGGCGCCGGGGCGGCATCATCGCTCATGTTGCGGACATGCCGAAAAGGTTTAGCTGATGTGCATGTTAAGAATGTGGTTCGAAGCCTTTGGTGTTCTTGGTTTTATCAGGAAGCTATCCTTCGAGATGTTTGGAGCAAGTGGCGCGAGAGAGCAGCAACTTGGCTTGGCTGCAGAGCGTGAATGCTGCGGCTTTGGGTTTCTTCATGCCTCATTTCCTCTGTCTGTGTGTCCTGGGGCCTGCCGAAACTGACTCGTCTCGGATTTCGAAGGCCATCAAGATGCAAGCGCACTTCCGCGGCGCACGGAACCAAGTCCTAGTGAGTCCAGTCAGCACGTACAGAGCTCAGAGGTTCGCTTGTGTCATAGGCAACTTGTAGGAATTTTTGCGAATAGGGCAAGTACATGCTCACAGCCAATTGGGCCAATTATGCTTCCACAGGATGAAGCAACTCCTCGGATGCAGAGAGAGAGAGAGAGAGAACTCCTACTTACCGGCGCGGGAAGCTTGACCCGCTCCCTGAACCCCGGAGAAGAAGAACTGCTACTTTGCACCTTCCTTGTCGTGGCAATGGGGGATAATCGACCTCATTTGTTCTTCTATCCCCTGATGCAATGTTGATCATTCTTGACCTTCGTCAGGTCTGTATTCAACTCCCGTTGCCGAAAGAACATGAAAGAACCCATTTCAGTCACGGGAGAACCTAAACCTCCCGTTAATATCTGATTCTGATGTGAAGCCCTTCTCCCGTCCCTGACCAATGACAACTTGTAACGTCGGGGAAAATTTGTAAGGAGGACGGATGTTTGCGTTCCTATTTCCGTGATGCTGAAACAAATCTCTTGC